AGACAGACACAGACAGACACAGACAGACACAAACAGACACACACCCTGTGTGGCTGCAGGGTTTTTTTGTAGAATAGCGCCACGGGACCTCCACCTGTCGTAAGGCGACTAAAAGGAGCAGCTGTCCGCTGCCCTTTCCCACTAATATCCCTACTTTCCCACCTAGTTTTCCTCCCATCCCAACAAGATCCAATAGGTGGACTGAGTAGCTTATGGGATCTTGCTCCCTATCCCTACGAAAATCCCCTTCTCACCTTCCTTCCAATTCCATCTCTGCTGGCGATAGCATATAAAACGCTAAGGGAAGGTCACCCCGAAAATAAACCAGAGATGGGTATGAGTGAGCCTCAAAACTCACTACCCCAAGCGAGTCCAGCGTTGACGCCGAATCTCGCCACCGATTCTGATCGAGTGAAAGCCCCGATAGTCGGTGTCGGCTCCATGGATTTTGGAGGGAGCCAAGCTCACAAGTGTGTCTGGGAAGAGAATAGGAGAGTGAAGTTTCTGGAGTTCGGGAAGAAGATCGGGGATCTCCTGTATTTTGTCCTGCCAAGGAATAATGTCCACGGGGACATAGAGCGTATGATGAGTTCCATCCGATTTGACTTTGATGAGACATGGAAGAGTTACTATCTGTAATTAGCTCGAAGACAGTTGAGGCGGAGACGCAGACATCACCGCAGACATGGGATGTCGATCCGAATACTGATGGTTATGGAGGGCCCTCGACAGCAGCAGCGGAGGTGCAGCCTGCGGGGAACAATGTAATTGGACAAGGACTCTGCCGCTGACGTCGGGTGTTGGCCGGAATTCTGATGATAGTGGTAGGTCCTCGGCGGCGGAAGCGGAGTTGCGAACCGCAGTTAATGATGTGATTTGCCTGAGGACGGTGGAGGTGGAGACGATGGTTTCACCACAGACTTCTGATATTGGCCCGAATGCTGATGATTGTGGTGGGCCCTCGACAGTGGCGGCGGAGTTTCGGACCGCAGTAGGCGGTGGACGAACTTCATCGAGGAAAGAGAGACCGCGAGGAAAGACTGACCGCTACGGGAGTGGCAGAGAAGAAGCTATCAAAGTCGGTGAAGGGAAGGAACATTCAACATGCTGAAGTTCCACAGGCACTGCACAAACCGTCTGATGAGACACCACACCAAAATCATGAGATGGATTGGCATGTCGTAGGGAGGAAGTGACGGAGGCCGCCGAAGCCGCACTCTTATCGCCCCGAACTCGTTATTGTTAAGGCAAATGACGGAGGCCCTTCCTATGCAGATATTCTAAGGCAGATCAAGGGCGAACCATCTCTGAAAGATGCTTGTGAGAACGTCGCAAAGGTGAGGAGGAATGCTGCCGGATACCTGCTGCTGGAGTTGCGGAAATCTGCAGCAGCCTCCGAGATATCTGAAGCAATATCCAGAAAACTGGGCGAGTTAGCAAGAGTAGCGACGCGGAGAGACGAAATGACTCTCGAGATTCGTGACCTTGACGAGCTCACAACGGCGGCTGAAGTCTGTGAGGCTGTAAGCGGGGACCTGAAAGCACCTGTTGAGCTAGCAAGTGTCATATCCGTACGGAGGGCTTACAGAGGCACACAAACTACAGTGGTTCGTCAACCGACGGAACTAGCCAGGAGGGCATTGAGGAGCGGCCGTGTTCGCATTGGGTGGGTAAACTGCCGCGTTAGAGAGAAAGTAATTGTGCGGAAGAGATATCGTTGTTGGGCGTTCGGACATCTGGCGCGCGACTGCCAAGGGACGGACAGGTCGAAATCCAGTCACCGATGCGGAGAAGACGGCCACTTACGTCAGGCTTGCAAAAGTGCTGAGGCGAGGTGTGAGCTCTGCAAAGATAAGAGGAACCACCCGACGGGGAGTTTCACGTGTCCGGCGTACCAAGTAGCAATGAAGGCAACGAATAACAGAAAATGAGAGTTCTCCAGCTAAATTTAAATCATTGCGATGCGGCCCAGAACCGTCTCACCCAGACGGTGCGCGAGATGAATATAGATGTTGCGATACTCTGCGAGCAGTACAGGAATATTGTCGGTCTTCAGTCCTGGGTTTCGGATGCGACTAACCGAGCTGCAGTATGGATATGTGGTAATAGTCCAGTCCAGGATGCTATGCAAGTCCCAAGGGATGGATTCACCTGGATCAAAGGGCTCGGTGTATATTTCTATAGTGTTTATGCTGCACCGAGCGCATCGCTTGAGGAGTTCAAGGAATTACTTGATCGCTTAATAGATGACGCGAGAGAACGAAGGCCTCTTATTATTTTTGGGGACTTCAATGCATGGGCCACGGAGTGGGGCAGCAGAGTAACGAATCGACGCGGGGTGGCTCTACCTGGACAACCTTGACAGTTTTGGCATTCACTGCTCTGCAACACGGGGGCCAGTCGACCATTGTAAATGAATGGTCGAGCGCGGTCGTTGACCTAAAACTGTTCGTTTGGTAAAAGCTTTGCTACGCACGTTTGGTATCATGGAGTGTTGTAGCACATCAAGTACACATGACGTGAACCCACAAGCAATTGTCTATGAAGTAAGAGCCAGTGTCATGTTGAGCCACCAAGGGGTAGAAGGAAAGCTGTTGGAACGCACAGAACATTCGAACGTGAATTCCCTCATGCCGATGAGGAAGGCAACCCTGCGAAGATATGTTTGCCCGTGACGTTGTAGAAACGCGATGAACGATATTTGCACGCTTGTGATCCGTCAATGAAAAGGTCCACAGCGAAGTACGCTGTCCCTTCCAATGTTACTCGGTGGACTCTGACGCACGATCGCGGAACTCGCCGGACACTCGCCACCGAACACGTAATTGCAAGCGGCCTGGGCCCCAAATTATAATTCTCAGAAGCAACATTGGAGCCAGAAGAGCTTTCACAAAAAGCCTTAAGATTAGTAAGTGTCGTGTGGAAGAGTAGGGGACGGAAATGTGGATCTGACCCCCTGGGGGACGCCCGCGAATAAGCTGGTAAACGGCGACTCAGGGGTAATGTTCAGGCGACCTACCCACTTGCCCGGTTTTTCTTGGGAAAAGTTGTGCTAACTAGTTTCCTCGCCAGGTAGATATTTACAACCGACACGCGAGTCGTCTGGAAGCTCTAAGCGAGATTCGGAAGTCACGATGGATGAACTTTCCAAGCTTGCGGCAAGGTCCAAGTTGCAAAGCCCCCGGGATTAGATGGGGTTACCCCAATGTTAGCAATATGCACCGGCCTTTTAAGATCTCGCCCGATCTAGTCTTGCTGGCATATAAGCATGCATACGAGAGGGGGGAATTGTCCCCATTGATGGAGAGGCAGCAACAGCTAGTCCTTCTTCTGAAGGCGCGATAACGCACTACTGATCCCGGCAGCCTATCGCCATATGCTACTGATACAGCAGGCAAAGGTGTTAGAACGATAATCTTGCAATCGTATTGAGTCATTTACAGAGGTAGCCTCAAAGGATTTGTCTGAATATAGTACGCGCTTATGAGAAAGCGCAGATCCACGCTGCATGATGGACTATTCCTAACGATAGTCACATCCCCGAATCCCCGCCGGCCACGCCAGGCTACCAGCTCTGAACGGCAAAGATCGAACAGACGTACTCCTGATGACGTACTGCTCGGCACTCCTCAACGTGGACACACCACATCTAGACATGAAAACTGCAAGGTGGCTTCGGTCATTCTTTCTGCGTTACTACTCTTGGAGTTCCAAGGTACATCTCGAACTGGTCAAAAGTACTACTTTAAGGAGAGATCCTCTTTATATGAACTCGGACTGACGAGTGCAATCTATACATTACGTGTCAACGCAAGGTTAAGGCCTCGGTACTTGTCCGATGTTGTGGACATACGCTATTGACGCGTGTTGAGCTCGGTGCTGGAAGGACGCACACGAACGAATCCACTAGGATTCGCGACAAAGATGTTCAAAATTGTACGTCGGCCAGCAAACTACAATAAAAGACCAAAAAAAAAAAAAACAAAAAAGCAGAGAATATAAGAAACAACACACAAACAGCGGCTGTGGACGGCGCATAAACAGAAGCAAGCAAGTAAAAACCGAAAACACAAACAAACCACTTCCGTCTGCAGATACCGGGACATACCAGCCCTTCGGCCAGCACCCTACAACCCCCGCGGCTGTTGTCTAGAAAGCCGACCGGACCACCGCCACGGCCACTCCGGAACGAACCGCAAGGCAAGAATAACAAATACCATAAAAACTAATAACACTGTCGGCAAAAGGCAGCACACAAAACATCCTCTCAAAGCAGAAGCGTAACCCTAAGTATACCCTGCAGAGTAAACCTAAAAATATACAGAGCGTGTAGAAAACAAACAAAAAAAAAAAAAAAAAAAAAACAACTTGGCGCGTCCCTGCGCCTTGTGCACAAACGACACACTGACCCTGTTCTCCGCGCGCGCGTCTGGTTCTGGCCTCCAGCCTAATGACGGCAAAAAACAACAAAAAAAACCAAAAAAAAGC